TGGTGTGTAAATGGAGGCTGCTGTTGTGTTTTTGAGTGGCTGATTCTCTTTAGTGGGTTTAATCTGCTTCTAAGTACTTTAAAGTGCTTACAATTGCTCTGCTAATTACAAATCCCGATAAACTCTCCATTAAAGTGTATCTTCTAAGTACCTTCAACCCGATAATACTGTTAAAATGAATTATATATGGGTTAAAGTTAGGGAAACATATTTATTTAATAACAGTCTTAAATTCAACTTGCCTTTTTGTTGACTTGCCTTTTGAATTAGGAAAGCCAGCCTGCATTTACCTGCTTACATACTTACACAGGTGAGATGCTGGCAGGGGCGACCCAGTAATACACCGAAGTGGAGGTTAAAACTCAAGATGTGGCCGTGTCTTACCCCATGTTCATGAATTTGCTCCAGCATGGGAGGAGGAGAGAAGTCTACATGTTAACCAAGCGTTGTCTGATCTGATGGGCTTTCTGCCAGGAGATTTTTGACCTTCTGGGGAAAGAAGACACAGGGAATCATCACCAACTGCTTATTAAATACTCAGCTGGGCCCTAACACTTTGCTCAGGGCATTTGGGTGGATGCTTGTCTCTGTGTGTGCAGGCACATGTGTGTTCATTATTAATCTCAAGGAGCCTTAATTTCTCACTTGTAAAGGTTTAAAGCTATAAATGACCATAAGGGATTGAGGAAGCCACAAACCACGTGAGCATACAAAGAACTAGTTTCACAACTGGCAGTCACTGCTTATTCCTTGGCGTCAGCTTTGTCTGACATGGGACATAACGCTGTGGTACATCTGTGACTCAGGCCGCATGAATGACCTGAGTATTACCAGCATTAGGCAAAGCTCAGTCCTCTCAGAGGCAGGATGGCATGCTGTGGAAAAGGCCAGGAGATACAAGAGCCAGGAAGATTGTGCAGATGCGGGGAGCGACCTGAGCTGGGAGCGGTGAGTCCTCCCGGCAAGCATGTGTGTGCGGTGTCTGCCTGAGTATGCAGGCTCTGGTGATTTAGCTCTGTTTGTTAACACACAAGGTAAACAAGTTGAGAGCTCAGGCTCTGTTTGCATGTGACAGCACGGCTGTTCATTTACACACTGATTCAGCCCCAGCCAGGACCGATTATATCCATCCGTTGTCCAATCAGAGTCGAGCCAATAATGTGGGCAACAGAATGGACACATGGCCTGTCAAGTACACATGCCTTTAAGTAGAAGTGCCTGTCATCTGGAGAGGAGAGAAGGTTGACGGGAAGTGGAGAAGGCCTCGGGGAGGAGGTGATTTTGTTAAGGAGCTGGCAGCTCACCAGGGCAAAGATTGTATCTCTTTGTGAGAGAACCATATGGTAAATCCAAAGTGTACCTGAGGAAGTGTGTGACATTCGATCTGGGGACATAAAGTATATACACGGCGCCCCAGGAAGTGTAGGATGTGATCTGGTTGGGAGGATCATGGCCAAATAACCTGGGATGATTGGGCAGCAGTCAGAAGCCTCTGCTGAGAGACTTGCAGAGAACTGATTCAGGACTTGGAGTGTGAAGGCAACTTGCATTTGAATTCACCTCCCCCATGGCTCACTCCATAGCCTTGGCCAACCTTTCTGTGCCTCAGTTTTCTCATCTGCAAAATGGGGCCTAAGAATCACACTTACTTTCAGGACTTTTGGGAAGATCAGGCAGATTAGCATGTGTTAAATGCTCAGAGAAGTGCCGAGAACACAGAAGCATTGAGCAGAGGGTAGCTGTTGGTGGCTGTTACTCTGTTAGGGCTGAAGGCCCTCAAGGATGGAGCCCCGACCAGCAGAATGAGCACTGCTGTGTTGATCCTGTCTGCCATTTGTTCTCCCCATCCCTTCCCTGTCCTCTTAGGTCTGGCTGTGTGGCAGCAGCTTTAGTCTTTGACTCTGCCCTGGGAAGGGAGTTGGGGGAGGGTGTAAGTGAAGGTGAATGTGTCACTTGGAGCAAAATCTGTGTGACTGTTATTATTCCTAGTAAGAGAGGAAGCCCAGAGACTCAAAGAAGTCACATGAACAGTGCAGAGAGGAGCTGGGGCTGGACCTCTTCGCTGTTCTTCCTGCATACCCGCACCATCCTTGATACTGCAGCAAAAACTGCTGACCATCACAAAGGGACTCCTGCCCGCCGGGAGCTGCACGACAGACAGGGAGACATGAGGAGCAGCAGTGTGAGGCGCCTGCAGGGAGGAGAGGAGTGATGGACGCCCTCTGGGAACTCCTGGTGTTACGACTTGCTTGCAGTTAGCCACATCAAACTGGAAACTGGCTCTGGGCAGAAGGGCGGTAGTGCCTTAGGACATATGCGGCACCGTGGTGAGCTGGAGCCATGATGTGTAGGATGTTGTGGGCAGAGCCAAGACACCTGTGCTTCACCCTGAGCACAGTGGGCCCTGCTTTTAGGCTCAGGAGCTCATAAAGAAGTTGGCATGGCCACTGCTGTGATATCCTTCGGCACCCCTCAGAAGGCCTTTTGCTGGCAGAGACGCACAATGCTCTTTTTTGTGTGACTGAGCAGTAGGCAGAAAAAGCCTCCTGAAAAGACACAAGTCCTGAACAAAATGGGGAAAGGACCACAGGAGATCCGGTTTTGCATTCTGGGTGTGTGGTGCTGGGCATCCTTGCAAGGGCCTGGACTTGTGCTTGCAGGGGGCAGAGGGCCTGGGGACCGTGCTCATGTTAGCAATGACACAGTTAGGCTGGATGTCAGAAGCACCAGAGCAGAGGAAGAGACTGGGGAGATACCCTGCAGTGAGGGAGGTGGTGGCATGGCCCGGATTCACGCATAGTTCAGGGTGAAGGGGCGAGGACACCCAGCTTTGGAGGTGAGTTCACTGTGCAGCTTCCAGGACACTCTGTGCTCCATCTCACCCTCACCATCCCCAGGACTCACCTCCTGAGTAAGCTGGGAGCCCCCCAAAGGTAGGACTTGCACCTGCCTGTCCCTCATCTACCCTCAGTGCCCCATCCATGTAAGGTGCTATGCTATCATTTCCAATGTTCTGATGTTTGCTTTTCCCCTTCCTTCCTTCTCTTTTGTGTCTCACTCAGCCTTTCACATCACCCCATATTAGGTGACAGTCTGGGGGTTTATCCTGTGGACATAATAAGTCCAGTTAACCGCAGAGCTTATAGGAGGGACCTCTACCTCCAAGGCTTAAATCACTTGCCCAAGTGATCTCAGTTGGCACTGAGATCTGACTCCAGAGGCCGAGCTCTTTCCCTTCACATGCATCCTTCTTAAGTGGGGGAACTCAGAAGACTTGCCCCAGAGACAGACAAAGCTGGGATGTCTTTCTAAAGCCCTGTGACTCTGGCACATGTCTCTTTCTCCCATGGGTTTCTACATCCTGGTCCTTCAGGACCAGACGAACAGGAGCTGAAAAGCAAGCAGGGAGGTCAGGCTGCAGCCCCCTCAGCCAGCAGGGGGCAGGCAAGGGGCAGGAACACTGAGGACATGGTACAGATGAATCCACACAGGCCGAACTTTCTCTGGTCTCTCTCCCTCTCCTCAGTAAGTTGGTACCTATTTCCTAAAAGATCATGAACAAGAAAACCTATTGACAAGCACTTCCTGGTTCTCAAACATCTAACTAAGAAAAGGTTTATTAGTGGGAATAACAGTGCTTCTCCTAAAAGCATTTATTGTACAACAATCCATCCTAGGCCACTCTGCCCAGCTCATTCAACTCTACAGCTATCTTCCTGAGCTAATACTTGTCATGGCTTTTATGCTAGGGCCAGGAAGACGTCACGCTCTGACAGCCACATGGGAGTGGGTGAGAGGCTCCCTCGGAATGTTAGCTGCTGTGTGATAAGAGCCCACAACCGGTCCCTTCAACGTGCTGAGGAGCCTGGGAAGGGATGGCGTGACTAAATCTTGCTGGTCCCTCTTTTCCTGTGTGGGGTTGGCTGTGGCCACGGTGAGGGGAAGGAGGGGAGGGAACTATTGGAGGGACAGCCCCAGGAGGAGGGGACAGATGAAGCATTTCCTAAGTGGCCACATTGTCCGCTCTCCATTTGTCTAAAGAACCCGCAGGTATATTTAGTCTAGTGACCACACACCCGTGCAGCTTCTCTCACAAGTCCCCAGGGCAGGGAGCAAACACCTGTCCATCTTCAAGGTGCAAGAGGAGAGGAGACAGCAGTGGGCTACTGATTTCAACTGTGTGGACTACCTTCTGGTGGTGCAGCATTTGGGGGGCTGGCTGGTATCTGGTCTGACAGAGGAGAGGTTGTGAGCTGGGTGTGTTCTCAGAGGCAATGACACTCGAAGCAGAGAGGCTCAAGTTTTTCACTTCATCTCTGCAATCCATACTCACTTCACCTTTGAGCAAGTGACTTCCTCTTCTGAGAGTCGCTTTCTCTGCCTAATGAGAGGCGCGTACTGCAAGCCCTGCACAGAAGCCCTCCTGGCCACCAGGTCCCTCTGAAGCTGTGCAGCCACCTTGGCCTCTGGTCACTTCCCAGTCTTGTTGCCCTTTTTACACTGTGCACTCCAGCCTCCTCTGCTGACTCGGAATGAGGTGTCCTCCTTCATGCTTTGTGTCCTTGCTTGAGCTCTTTCCTCTCTGTAACACATCCCTCTCCACATGAACCTGCAGGGAACCCTCTTCAAGAGTATTTCCCTTTGAGAGCTCTCAGGCCAGTGCCAGGGGTGGCCCCCATCCCTCCTCTGTGTCCTGGATACATCACATCTACTGCTGCCCTTACACTTCTGTTTTTCTGTGCGCTGAAACGAAGCGGCTCAGGCTAGGCTCCGAATCTCATTGGTAACTATCTTCCCCGAGGCTAACAAAAGACCTGGACCAGAATACGCTGTTGAAGTGTTGAGGATTGAAAAAAATATACAGAAATAGAAAATATTGGGGCCAGGCACTTGACATAGAGGATTTTATTTAATTCTTTTCACCCACCCTTGAGATATGGCTTCCTATTTCCATTTTGCATGGATATGCAACTTGGTCAAGCTTATGCCATTGAGTTTGTAGAACTAGGACTCAAACGCAGGAGTGTCTCAGCGCAAGTCCAGAACTCTCCTCTGTGGTGCTCTGAGGACAGTAGCATCTTGCTTGTATGAAACACTGTGGGTTACACGAGCCACACATAGGCCACTTCCTCCCACTCAGCTATCTTGACTTCCCACCCAGCCAGGACAGCTCCCACGTATTTCTGCATGATCTTTATCTGCTCCTGAACCTGGGGAAGTTCCAGAGGCCACTTACACCCAAATGCACCTTGAATACCATGTGAGAGGTGAGGAGAGGAGTTTTCCATGTGGTCGCTGGGTGTGAGTAACTGTCCCTTCTCCCTGGGACTCCCACCTCTTCCCCTGGGAAATCCCTCTTGCCGGGCCTTATAATAAAAGCTCTGAGTGCTGCAGGATGGCCCAAGGGAGGCCCTTGCTTCACCAGACACATCAAGGCTGCTCCTGAGAGGCCTGAATCAGACACCTAGGATGAAGCTCGCTACTGTGGCCCTGGCGTGCCTGCTGCTGGCTGCGATGTGGACACAAGATGTGGATGGCATGAGCTGTAAGTGTCCCCGAGCCCTGTTCCTTCTCCCTGAGGAGGGCAGACATGCAGGTGCTCTGCAAACCAGGAGGACTCACCTTGAATTCAGAGTCTTCCTCCCCTCCTCCCACCTGAGAGGGGGAATTGGCACTTGCAGGGGCCAGGAGCCCAGGACTAGTAGGAAAACCTTGAATTGGACAAACATGGAGCTCAGCTTGAGGAAGCTCTCTCTAGTCAGACCGTGCAAGCTGATGGCGGGGACTGTGAAGTTGTTTAGGTCAAGCTGCAAACCCTGAGGCCAGGAGGAGGGTCTGGGCTTTTCCTGCACAGTGTGACAGATAACAGTAGCATCTGAGGGCAGGATTGGGGAGCCCTGATAGTTGGAGGACCTTGGTTAAATCGCCTATCTCTCGAATTATGGTAATAATTCTCCATGTGTAAAATGGAGCTGGTGGTGTCCACCTCCCCACTGAGGCTGTTGGGAGAATACTGACCTAGCAACAGACACGAAAGGGTTCAGTGAACAGTAAACTAGGCGGGAGGTGGCCAGGTTGGATGGCAAGGCTTTAGGGGTAGGGTTGGGAGGAGCGTGTGCAAAGTAGCACAGTGGGGACTAGGGGCTGGGTCCTGGAGTCGGGGAGGAGGGCACTCAAGACATTGACTGGGGAGCTGACTACTACCTGGGAGCACTTCGTTTGGCCTTCTGAGCTCCTTGTACAGTTCCTCATCTGACCCCAAGTCTATGGACTGCGGGCTACAATGTCCTGTGTGTTTAGGCTGCTTTTCCAGGGAAGAGGGTCCAACGCCGTTGGGCCTGAGTGCTGGGACAAAACCGTACTCTCGTGATGGGAGGTGAGAACTGGACGAGCCTTCAGGAATCAGGGTATAAACTCTCTTGCTCTGAGGATGGGGACTCCTAGCCACGGCACAGGTTTATCATCACAACTGTCAGCTGGTCTGTGGGGCGCTCAGGTCAGAACCCCAGTCTTCTGACTCTTTCCCCTCACTAACCCCAGAACTGCATAGCTGCTGATAGTGCCGTGCTAGAGATCCCCGGATGTGGTCCTGAAGCACAGGTCTGTCCTGGGTGGAGCTTTGCTGGGTTTGGGAAAATCATCCCACCTGTGAGAGGCTGAACGATGGACGCACATTCTTTTGTACTTCTCTTCCAGTGCACGTGTCCTCCTCCCACTGCTGCTACTCATCTGTGGAGAAAAAGATCTCCCTGCGGAGAATCCAGTGTCACAGGGTCACCAGCTCCACCTGCCCTTACAAAGCTGTGATGTGAGTAGTCCTTCACCCGCCGCACCCCTCGGGAGGGAACGCACGGGCTGACATGAGACTAGCAGACACTAGATGGTGCTGTCCCACTAGAACAGGGTTTCTAAACGCAGCCTGCAAGGCAGCCAAAACCCGGAGGCAGATCCGCATTTGGGCGCTGGGGGGAGCGCCGAGCTTCCTAGCAGGGTCCTGGAAGTTCCTCCTGCTCCGCAGTCACTTGTGTTTTGGGAAACCCACTGTGCCAGTTACTGTATCCCAGTATTACACCCTGGAGGAAGGAGTCACTTCACAGAAGCACCAGACATTATTGTGTAGTGGAAAGTGGGAGGTTCTCATAATTAGTGTTTGCCTCTGCATTTGCCAATCTGTGGTCCAGGTGACCTTGGGTAGAAAAAATCCTCTGAACCTCATCCAGCACCCCTCGGTATCCGTTATCTGTGAAGTACAGCAAGCGTGATGCCTGCATCACAGGATCAGTACAAACTTAACTGAGATCGCTTGCACGCAGCTCTCAGCATTCTAAGGCACTTGTATGTATACCACCTCTGCTGGCCCTGTTTCTTACCAGGAAAACTCAGGTTCAGGGACGTAGAAGTAATTGTCTAAGATCACCCAGGCTGCAAAAGGCAGGATTAGATAAGTAGACAATGGATTAGACAATTAGAAAGTGACCAGATCAGAAAAGCAACGTATACACACACACACACACACACACACACACACACACACACACACACAATGAACCAGAGCCAGATGTACCAGATAGACACAAAAGTATTAAAAATTATAGCACAGGGATGTTTTAAGGCAGGAATTTTTTCATCCTAGATTATCATCAAGCTGTCTACAAGGTCTTCTGCCCCACTCTTATACTTGGAGCTGGAATCTCCAGGGGCCCCGTCAGGGAGCTCAGTGAATAAGTTCCTGATGCACACATTAATGGATGTCCCCCCAACCCCACCCAGTGTGCAAGCTACAGATCTTATGTAGTGGTCATCTACAGAGAGCAAAAACAAGGCTCAGAGAGGAAACACAGGGACACCAGGAGACACGGAAGTGGATACAGGACTTCTGCATGGTACGCAGCAAGTGACTGGTGACTCAGCTCTGTCCTGTGTTTTCTGTTCACAGATTCAAGCTTAAGGGAGGCAGAGAAGCCTGTGTCTTGCCGACGCTTGGATGGGTTCAAGGTTACTTGAAAAAGGTGAAGCCCTGCTGGCTGAAAGGAAAATGAGGAATTCTTTCCTGTCCTGGCCTCTGGAGACCACACAGCTCCACTGGTCCCCTTAGTTCCAGCCCTATACCTTTGCTTCTGTCCACCTTCCTGGAGTCCCAGAAGACTGTGTGATCTTGATAAGCTATGTTGCTGTACTTTATATATTTAAATATAGACTCTCCAACTCCTGGTCCCCTGTGTTGCTTGGATTCTGTGGGGATTTCAGGGTTTGAAATCTGTGAAATTTGATCTGTGAGGATTTGATTGGCACTGGGGCTGAGGAGGGGGCTAGAGGGCTGCAGGGTGAGAGAGAAATGTTGACATTGTGCCACGGGAACTGATTGCTGTCTTAGAAGCTGCTGCATGCTGTGTGCCTCCCACCTCTCCCTTATCCTTGGGAAAGCTTTGACCCAGGCCGTGGCTGGCTTCTCCGCCTCCGGGTTTGGCAGCTGAGGGAGACACAGTGGAGCAGCAAGCTGGAACCTGAGCTGGCTCTAAGCTGGAGATCTGGAACCTCTCCCTCCCTGCCTGGCCTGGAACACTCAGGCAGCGATGTTATCCAGAGTTCTAGCTGGAGGAGATCTTTTTGTCAGGTCACCTGCCTATAAGAGGCTGCCAAACTTGTTTTATAGATGAAGCATCTGGGGGCTGGAGAGGGGCACATAAAGCCCAGGGCTCCAGCCTCCCAGGCCTGAACTTCACCTGATGTCTCAAGTTGCCACGTGTGCTGCCTGCCACAGCAAGGCGTAGAGCTTCTCAGCTTGAGATCCCGGGCACGGGCCCTGCAGGGCTGTTCTTAGAGCCCTCCTCTCGTGGAGGCAGTCCAGGTGGGTGTCCAGGCAGGGGTACCCTGTGCCTGACAGAGATGCCTACGTGGCTTGCCTGGAAGGGTGAGGCAGTCTCTGGAAGAGCAGAGGAGCTGAGGTGGACATGTAGGAAGAAGAGGCCCTGCCACTTTAGAAAGGACAGTCATAAACTCCATTTGTGTAATGTGTGAGTTGAGAAAAGCGAAGAAGGGGAGTGAACTCTGAGTCTCAGGACTGGCACTCCTTTACAGGCCAGCTTGGTGGCTTCAGAGAGAAGGTCTTCTGTCCTGTTTTTCTTTTTCCCCAGCATTCCTCATGTCACACAACCCTCTCAGTTTTCTTAATCTGCCTCGTCCCTCCACCTCTACAGCTGCCCTCCTCGGTCCCCTTTCTCCTCTTGCCTGGCCTATTGCAGCAGGTCACCTTCAGCTATCCCCTCCTAACTCCTTCTCACCCACAGCCACAGGTTACTTTTCCTGGCATCTACCCACCGCTGATCCTTCTTGGTTGCCCCAAAGTGTTCATTGCTTCCCCTTCCTTCAGAGTTGAGTCTAACTCCCTAACCTTCTTTTCTAGAAGTCTCCAAATCTTACATTCTGGAACCCAAACTTGGACCGTTTGGTAATAGTCCCTCCAGCTCTCTTTTTCTCTTCTGCATCTTCTTTAGAAGAATCTTTGCTATGATCATGATACTCCATCCCCCCAGGTCCGTTCTGCTTAAGTACCTTTCCCGTCAACCCTGATGTTAACTGGGACCTGGCCATGTGGTCTCCGCCTGGAAGCAGGTATGCGTGCAGGGTGTGTTACTCACCCCAGGCTGGGAGAGGGCTTGGAGGAGCAGGCACACTGATAGGAAGAGCACTTAAAAGACATTTGCAATAGAGCCTTTGGGGAGCAATGGGAGGTCATAAGGAAAGAAGACCTTAGGCATGAACCAGACCTGGGGCAGGAACCAGATATGAGATGGATGGAGTGCAAGCCACAGAAGCAGATGCTGGAGACCAGAGCCATTGTTCTGGAATAGCTTCAGCTGCCAACACTCAATGGAGTCCTGGTTAGCTATATAGCCAGAGCCCTGTACACTGCATTCCCCTAGTGTGCTCAACCAGAGTTCTGAGAGCGCCCCCTACTGTATGGGAGTTTCCCCAAAGAAAACATCATTGTTATAGTTTCTAAATAAAATGAATTTCCTGCAAACATTCCGGGGTCCTCCCGCTGCATTCATTTTTCTATACAGCACACTTAGCAAATGTCACATTTACAAGGCAAATCTGCTCCCTACATTACAGTGTCCTCTCACATAGTTCCTGCAGGCACATGCTTCATCCTTGAAAGCCAGAGAGAAATGTGCCCAGGTTATAGGGGAAGGGACTAGGGAACAGTCAAGAACCACCTTGTTCAAAGCCTTGCTTTAACAAAGGATCATTGGGCTGGGGTGTAGCTCAGTGGTAATCTCTTATCTAGCATGCACAAGGCCCCGCACCACTGCAAATATACAATAATAACAGATCAATACTCAAAATGAAATCTAAAACAGTAGCACAACTCTAATAATAGTGAACCTTCCTGGAGATACAATGCATTTTACAACACAAATCAGAAAGCTTTTATTTGAAAATTGTGGTACAGTTATTCCAGAGTACAGATGGGCAGGCGGGGGCAGAATTGAACCATCCCTGCTCACCCTCAGGCTGGGTCTGGGTGAGTGGAGAGCTCACGTCTTTAGGAAGAGTTCAGGTAATTCACGGCTTTCTGAACCCACATCTGGTTGGGGTCAGCACAGATCTGTCTGTTTGCCCTGGTTTTGAAGCTGCAGAGGAAGGAGAAAGGTATTAGGGTTGGAACCCATGGGGGCACTCCCTGCCAAGGGCGTGATTCACTGGGCCCCAACCCTGCTGGCCCTTCTGTGGTGGTGAAGGTCCTTCCTGGGACAGATGGAAGAGCATGTGTGGAAGCAAGGGGCCTCCAGCAGTCGCTGTCTTGCTGGCCCTGGGGAACCCATCCTTGTGTCTGCTAGTGCAGCCACATGGGTGAGGGCTGGAACCCGTCAGGGGATAGGACACAGGGGGAAGGCAGCAGCTCTCTCTGGGCATGCTTCTATTGTCATAACAGGAGGATTCGATCTGAGTGTTAGCCTGGCGTCACTCTTCTAGGAAAGAACTTTAGGTTGGGGCACATGGGAAGAGAAGGCATTGTGCAGGGCTTTGCTACTCACATGACAGCCTGCTGGGAACACATGTTACTGGTGAGCTGATAGTCTCTCAGAAGCCTCAAAGGGATCCTATTGCGAGTGAATGTGAAACAGCAAGCAAGAGGGGTCTCTTCGATGTGTTTCATATCTAGACACAAAAATCACCAAGAAAAGCCTTTAGGAGCATGCTCAGCTTTTCCGGGCTTGGACAAAGCAAGTAGGGTAAAGAAGTGGAAGCAAACCAGGCCTACCTCCAAGTGCAAGTCATCTGCCCTGGGCTGGGGCTGGGATGGGCCCTATGACTCATGACTGAGACCTCAAACTCCGTTCTCCTGGGCTGACTGTTGTGGATGGGTCACTGCTGCCTAGGGGAGACCAGGGGCATAGCCAGTGGACAGGTCTCAGATATGGCCCCAGATCTCCAGGGTTTGTAATGGTCAGAGGATGTTAAAGAAAAGGCTTAATTTAGAGTCAGCAGCTCCAGTTTTGCTCTTGTTCAGGGGTGGCCCAGAGGGTGATAGGTCCCTTCTGTCTTCAACTTGGACTTCAGCTTTCTAACTTTAGCATTTAATGCTAAAGTGAAACTCTGGGGACCTTGCTGTTCTGATGGGCTTAGAAGTCAAGCACTTTGGCTTACGGCTTCCTAGAAGGCAAGAGAAACAGAAAGCAAGACAGAGGGAGGGAGGGAGGGAGAACGGCTTTACCTGCCTGAGCCAGCACCTGGATACTGACAGCAGCAGCTGTTAGCAGCAGGCACAGAAGTGATGCTGAGACCTGCATCGTGGAGGGCAAAGGCGTAGCTTCAGCTTCAGAGTTGGTCTCAGCTCTCTGTTCCTCTGGCTCTTCTGCCTGCCTTTTATAAGAAGCAGAGAGGGTTGGAGTTCTCAGAACACCTTCTCATAGGCTCTGTCATGTCCCACTCATGAGGAAGCAGGGCTCTGAACCTGCTGAGCTGTATGTAGCTGCTTGGCACAGAGCATTCCAGGAAGTGCTGGGCAGGTCTGGGCTGGGAAGCCTGGGCATGTCTCCACTTGGCTGCCTGGGCACAAGGAGCCAGGGTGGAAGGAGAGTGCAGGTACTCTACAGACACCTACAGCAAAGAGCGATTTTGTGCTTGCCTTCCCTAACAAGAACAAGAAAACATGGAAAACAACTCCTACAAAGAAAGAGTGCTTTGCACACATTATGCAGGAGGCAGGTATGCTTACTGTCATGCCATTTCATAGTTGAAGAAATCGAGGTGTGGGGAAAAGAAATTACCCTCTGCAGCCTCAGGGAAAGTAAGTAGCAATGTTGGAAGAGAAAGTTGGTTTGCGTACACTTAATCACCAGGGAAGTTTCAAACATTCAAGTAGCTACAGGAGTCTTTTTCCAAGTCAGCTTTATTGTGGATGTCCAACACCAGGACAGATGGAGTCAGAGGCTCCTGACGTCACGCACTCGTCCACCACTCAGGCCCAGAGGAACGGGTGGAAACTTCTTATTTCCAGGACACTGGGGGATGTAGGGAGCAAGTAAACCTGATGAGGAGAGGGTACAGTTGTGCTTTGCTGCTGCTCCTGCTTCCCTCCTGAAAGGGATATAGATCTGAGCCTGGAGCTGGGGAGTGAGGTGCGATGGGGTGAAGGGGACAGCTGGATGAGGCTGTCTGCTTGAGCACAACTTCAAGCGTCGCTTATGTATTGTTCTTTCCTGTGACACCCTCCCCTGTGCTTTCACCCTTGCAAGAGAAGCCTGGCCCCGGTAGCAAAGCAAGCACAATGAAAGCAAAGAGAAGGAAATAAAAAGCTAAGTTTAGAGAAGTAAAAAGTAACAAATGCCAAACAGGACAGATGGAGCTCAAAGCAAGTCCTTTGGTAGGCTCGACATGAAGCAGAGTCTCCCCTGAGGCTGACCAGGAAAAAAGAGAAAACAAGACAAACAGCCAACAGCAGGAATTAAAAAATTAAACTTAAAATTAGAAAAAAATGTCATCATAGTCTCTGCAGACAGCAAGAAAGAAAACAAGAATCTATGCCAATAAATATAATTTAGAGGAAATGGATGAGTTTCCAAAAAACATAACTTACCAGACTTCATGAGGAAATGCAAACAAATGCATTTCTAAACTATCAAAGAAATTGAATCAGTAACTGAAAATCTTCCCACAAAACATCCTCAGGGCTCAGATAGCTTTAACAATTAAGTCCCGCAAACACTGATCATTCCAGTCTTACGCAAGCACTTCCCCAGAATTTCAAGAGTATGTGCTACTCAACTCATTATTTTATGAATCTTATGTAACTTTGACAATAAACACCTGTCAAGAACCATGTGAGAAAAGTAGGTCGTGCGTTTTTCTCTTCAGACAACGTTCTGTTCTTTTCCATCAGTTCTCTTCTTGGGCAGCCAATCTGTGTGCATTATGTGAAGAGGATTTGTGGCGCCTGCCTTTCAGAGGGCTGCAGACACTGAGGAGTCCCTCTGGCCTTCGGAGGAGAAGAACTAGTTGAGGAGCTTTTTCCCCACTGTTTCCCCTCGTGTCTCCCCTAGAGTGTAGCCTTGAGCCAATGACTTCCGCTTTTCTCAAGGTGGCCGCTCGGGGGCTGCATTCAGGTGTAACAAATCCCCTCCTGTTCATTCTTCTTCGGATACAGGGTTGGTAACAGCACAGTTCTAGACTCAGAGTGTAGCTTCTTCATCAAACCGTTCTCATATTCTTCCCAATTAAGGGTCCTCTAGTTTTTGCTTGAGATTTGATGAACAAAGGGTTGGGGACTGACAAGTGGTCCCAAGAAATAGACCTTCAGTTGCGTTTCTGGGACTGGGTTGTTTGTATGTTTTAGAAGTACAGTGGAAAAGGTCACAGTCACAGCATGTGTAGGGATCATTGTGATTTAAATTATCAGCAGTAGTGTCACGGCACACTGAGTTTGACAAAGTCTTCCAGGGGCTCCTGAGGTGCAGGAAAGTTTGGGAACCATGAAATTATAGTAACTCCATTGCCAACACTTATCCATATAGAACAACCCCTATAATGTTCTTAAGGACACTGTTCTTCTCCCAAGACCCTCATCAAAGTATCTCTTAATGCCTGGATGAAGGAAGTGCTCCCCTGGGCTTCCCTGGGAGTACAGTTAGGAGACGGCTGAGCAGCTAGCTCCAGATGGATCCATTCCAACAGAACCACTTCCTTGAGCCCTTGCACCCTTTCCCAATGTCCCAGGGAAGTTCTGATTTTCCACTTCATTAACTACCAGTTTCTTTTTAAGTCTACACTTCAATTAGCCAGTCTAGCTAACCATTAACACCACTCCCAGGTACTTGGGACACATTAAATCCTGAATCTGGCTGAAAGACCCTTATATATTATTCTCCTCAGTCTAACACCCTTAAAATGCACACCCACTCATACACCGCCAACTTTCATGGAAATTGAGTGGGCCAGTGTACATTTAAATCCTGCCAGGTGTAAAAATTAATGTCTGTCCTTCCCTATTTAATAGTACATAGGAAAAGGTGATTACAGACTGGGACCTGAAGTCACTCAGACCCACGTTTAATTCTAATACCCACATTTATTGGCCATGTGACATGAAGCCAGTTGTTCACCTCTCTAAGCCTCTAGGAGGAGACCCTTTGCTAATCACTATCTTACTGTGGTGGTAGAAGAGTCCATAAGATAAATCAGGAAAAGTGCTTAGAAAAGTGTCAATCATTTGCATTTCTGACATGCTCTCAGTGATACTGATATTGCTGGGCTGAGGACAACTCTTGGAGAACTACAGCCATAATGGAACTTAATTTGCTACTCTTAAGGGAGGAACAGGGCTATAGGGTGACAAAAGGCACGTGGTAGTGCTTATTAAACACATAGAGTCAAGGTGGGCACAATTATTGAAGAGATCACAGGCCTCAAGTGCAAATCAGAGTGCTTTGATGGCCCAGGACCAGATCTATCACTCTATCCAGAAGGTCACCTAGCTATCTTCCAACCCAATAATCATCATGTAACATAAGTATGTTAGAGTGGTGGGACCCTGTGATTGCTTCGTTGCTCTAGACTCTTAGCATCCAAGCATCCTGCCATCTACCTGCAACACATCAGGACAATCGATGCAGCTCCATCTTAGATAGTGATATTGCCGTACTGGCTGTAGAATTTATGTAGTCTCATAGCTTTCTGAGATTGTTTACCTGCTAAGTCTATTCTCTCTCTTTCTGCTTTTCAAAATGTTTGCTATATATAACATTTTATTTATTTTAATTTTTTATCAGTATATATTTGCAATACTTAATGAATGCATTCCTCATGGGCAATTAGCATAGACACACATTGCATCTCGGTCCTTTTTACCTCCCTTTCCCTCACCTCCCGCCTGTCTCTCATCGTCCTCAGATCCACATCCCATCTTCACGAAGTCTAGCTCCCTGTTTCCTATCAACTTTTATTTTGATACTTAAATTATCTGTACTTTGGATTTCTCATATAAGATAAACCATACACCATTTAACCTTTGGTATCTGATTTATTTCACTTAGCGCTATGGTCTCCAGGTACATCCATTTTTCTACAAGCGAATCAAGTTAATTTTTTTTGTGGCTGAGTAGTACTCCACTGTGTATATATAGTACATTTCCCCAAATATAGTGAATGTTGTACCAGATTTGTTTTTCAACTCTTGCCTGCATTGTGGAAGAAGCCAATTTCAGAGTAAAACCCACACTGTATTTGCAGCTTACTGTGGGCTTTTCTTGGGGCTAGTGCTGTCGGTCTGTCTATTGCTGGGGCTACCATCTCTCACCCAGTTTACCTTGTGTTTGTAAAGACAGCTCCCCTACCCTGGGAGCTGGGATTAACGTTTCAGACTACTTTATTCTTTCCTCTGTGTTACCTTCAGTTCCTCTAGTTTCTCTGTGGTTTCTAGCTTTTCTGTCTGCTCTTTTTTTTTTTTTTTTTTAAATTTCTGGAGTTTTTTTTCTCTTTGCCTTCCTTAAGTTCTTGGTTTCTGGGTCTCTTGATTCCAGGTGCCTGAAAGGCAGTGATTTGCCCCTGGCTTTTGATCTACCATCCTTCCCCTTGCTTCCCTGCTAAGTCTACTGTCAAGGAATAACTTATTGGAAGTCCTGATCCACGGTGGGCTAGCACTGAGACCACTACAGGAAGCCACGCGGGGGCACCTGTCTTTTTGCATCTCCCTGTTCATCTCATCTCCCTCTTTCAGACTCTGAGGAGGAAGGAGAGAATGCCACCTTTCCATTTTGTACCACACAGGGCTGACTGCTGGTGTGGAGGAAGCCAGTCCTAATCAGCATTCTCAGTGCCCAAGACTGGGTCTCTTCAGAGAAAGGACAACCTGTGGAGGAAAGGAATTGGGAAGTTGAAGGAGAAAGTTCAACCATGAAATCATGGGAAGACCACTTGGCTTACTTCTTCCTTTTTACCACCTTCCCTGCAATGCTGCCTTTACCTACAACGCCCCATCCACCTAAATTCTTGTTTCTATCTGACCTAAACAAGAATCATTTGAGACCTGGTTTAACCCATGTCCCACTCATGAAGACTTCCCAGGCTATACAGATCTCATAAGGGACCAAAGCTTCCTCAGAAATGAATGACAGGTGATTTAGTGACTTGCTATTTACTTCTCTAAGAAAGTGAATCATCTTTGTGGGCATTTTCTGGATTACAGAAGATTTGAAGGAACCTCGGAGACCTTCCTCTACGGGAGGATCGTTATATAGGAATAAAGCAGGGTTGTTCCAGGCAAATTAAAGTGTACCTTCTTGCTAGAGAATGGAGACTTAGTATCTTGTGTTGCTCATCTAGGTTTTCACAGTTTCTAGTTTCTGCTGCCCCATCTTTTTGGGAAAGTCTGATAACAGCAACCCTGTACTTTGCACATATGGTGCAGAGAAGAACAA